TATAAAGCACACAGAACAATTTTCTGAGCTCCGAAAGGCCATAAAGAAAGCCGGAGAAACGTGGGCCAAGTAAATTCGGAGGAAGCTTATGAAACAAGTTTGATCCAACGGTTAGGATCTAATCTCCCATCTCCTCCACCACTTTCATGACACTTGGCATATTCTAGAAGGTTGAGGTAAGCATGATGTAATAAGGTGATGCAATGATGATGCAAAAGTCCACTTGAACTTCCAAAATTGCCCTTACTCCTTCTTCTAGCTACCAAGGGCATTTTGGTCCATTCAAGCCAACTTTTTGGCTATAAATAGGCACTCTCCCTCCCCCCCCATTTCGGCCAAGCTGATGAACATAAGGGGAAACTCTTGCAATTTTGATTCTTGAAGCTTAAATCAAGAGGAAGACACCTACTTTGATCAACCGAGTTTAGATCTGAGGTTAGTAAGTTGTTCCCTCTTGTTTATTGCTTTGAATCTTCGGTTTTATGGTTAAAAAAATGTGAGATCCCATAAGAGGAGGTGCTGGCCGAATTGACATAAGCTTAGGAGAGGATGATTTTGATGTTAGATCTAGCTAGAACACATTGATTAGAGGTTGTTTCAAGTGGATCTACGTGGAAATTGGAAGAATTACGTGCTGATTTGATGCCTATTTCGAATTAGTTACTGTTCACATCTAATTCTGAAATTTGGTATGCTTGTAGTACACTCTGTGAGCTTTAAATCCATGGGTAGAAAACTCCATTTGGATATGTGTACGATTTATGGTGATTTTTCAAAGTTAGGGTTTGAAATCTGGAAACAGTGTTGAACTTTTGGGAGATTGTCGATTTCCGTACAATTCTGGTACTGTTCGGCGTAGAATTGGTTCCTGAAACTATTTTTCCTTTAAATTTAAATTAATTAGATTTTATTGAGACTTGGAAGCACTCAAGTTGGATTTTTCTAGATTTAATTATGAATTTTGAAAGTTGAGCAAAAATTCTGGAGATTCTGCGTGAAAAGTACCCGCGAACCAAAATTTCCAGATTTGATCTTCTTGAATCTAAGGCCATCTAAAGTGATCCTAATTGATAAGAAATGGATCATAAGAATGGGAAATGATGAGACTTATGTTAGAAAAGCTAGAAAGAAAACCCTAAGACTAAGAGAAAGGGTTGAGGTTCAAGAGAGCTAGCTTTGAACTTTATGTAATCTAGTGGTCCTAATGGATTGTGTCATCATTATGGTTATGTTTAGGACCTTTGGAACATCCAAGAGGATGTTTAGTGATGTTGACCGAATGCCCACATGGTTGGAAAGTCAAGGGAGTCAAAGGAAAAGTAAGAGGAAAGCTCGAGGTGCAAGGTAGTGAACTTACCTATTGTCATTGCTTGATATGGTATGCTTGTGTGTTGCCGTGTACATGTTATTTGCATGTTGTTGTGACATGTTTTAGCTGTTGTAATTGCTATTCGTGATGAGTAGATTATGTCTCCATGGCCATGCATCAAGAAGTTAGCTTTGAGCATGCTGTTATGTCACTAATTAACAAGAGAATAAACAAGTTGCGTGTAGTGCATGAGCATCCATCTAGCATGATTAATATGGTATTGTTTGCTACTGAGATTCCCCTGAATCTCACCCCCTCCCTAACCAACCATTTAGGTGAATCAATGATGGGCACTAATGGCATGAGAAGCAAGGAGAAGAAGTGGAGAATTATTAATGCAAATGATTGATATGAATATTCAATGTATAATTCTCCTATGTTGTAAGTTATGTTATGAATGCCATTACTTCAATGTATATGCTTAGGATGTTTATGGCATGAATGAAAGTATATGAGTATGAATGAGAAAGATTAAGCCCATGTTATGTATGTCAAAGAAATAAAAAGAATTAAAGTAAGGAGATATTAAAGGATAAAACGTAGGTCCTGAAGCAGTTAGTTTTGAGCTTCAGTTCGACCTATCATATGAATGAGTTAAGCTACGGAATTTGGTACACTTATAATTCATATCCCAAGCTTTAAAATGAGTGGTAAATCACATCATTTGGATGTGTATACAATGAGATATGAATTTTCGAAGTTAAGGCGCAGAATCTGGAAAGTCCAGATATTACCAAATGAATAGTAATTTTAATCCAATAAACTGTACGTTTTCAGTGAGGATGAGTTCAGTTGAATATTTTTCCCTTAAAGAGCATTGAAAGAGCTTTCCATAGAATTTTGGAACGCCTTCATACGATATTTCTAGAATTAGTTATGATTTTTCAAAGTTGGACCTGTAATCTGAAAACTGGACAGTGAACAGTAATATTCCGAAAATTAACGTCCAAATTGAAATTTTTAAGTTTAAGACCATCCAAAGTGGTCTGGAATGGTTCTAAATGAATGCTAAGGTATTATATAAGTAAGGTGTGACAACTACAGTCTTTGTACTATTACTATGAGGACTTCCTTCGACAGTACCTCACAGTTCATCTCCTCTGTCAATCTTGAATTAATCAAATAGAATAATGCATACTTAACAAAGAGCCTCCATAAAGAATAGTTGCACAGGTGAAAGATTTTATCGGGAGGTCTTCTACCAACGTTACTCGTGGTGTGGTTTCTTGGGAGGTCTTTCAGAGTGTCCTTTCGAAGTGACCAAATCATCTATTTCGTGAACAGCCTTTGAACTTCGTATTATCAATATGACAGCTACCATAATTATGCTACGTCTAGAACTCTATGACTCTACGATTAACTTACATTTATGCACTTCAGGCAATCAGATAACCATCCTCACCTCTTGTATAACTTATAGCTTAAACAAGCATAATAATACATAACCCGCAAAAAAAAAAAAAAAATTACATGCATAGCAACCATCCGTGCAGCGCACGGGGAGAAAATCCTAGTTTAACTGATATATCATTCGAACAGTGAATTTGCACAGTGACTTTCAAATGTGATATTCGAATTAAATAGGCATAGTCTTAATAACTCTTTCACTAGTTCCTTAAAGTTTTAAGTATTTAAATCATTCATTTGAATATCTCTCTAAACTGACTTTGTTTCACCAGTTCAAAATCATTTGAATATCTCTTTTCTACCATATTAGCACTTTAATGAATGTTCTGGATAAGTAATTGACATTAGGAAAACCGCGTACTAATAGAAAAATACTTTAAAATATTAAACGTTAACCCAATTTAATACGCTCTATAGAAAACTAGCAAACAGAATGCATTTTTTGGAAATTTAAAAAAGTTATCCAACTTTTTAAATTTTTTAAAAAGGTTAAAATGCATCCAATATTTCAAAGTATTTTATGGTGCATCCAACATCCTGAAATATTTTTTAGGTGCGTTAAGCACCCTAAAGCTTTTTTTGCCTTAGTGCTGAATGCACCAAAAAATATTTTTTGATGTTGAAAATACTTTGAGATGCTAGATGTATAAAAACAATACTTCACAATGCTGAATGCACCTAAAAAAATACTTTAGAGTGCTGAATGTATTCAAAAAAATATTTCGGGGTGCTGGATGCATTTTAATCCTTTTAAAAAGGTATTTTTTTATTAAACTAGTTGACATTTGAGAGTCACACTAAATCTTAACTAATCTAGATTGAGTGAGAAAGGATTACAAACCCAAAGCCACTTATTAAATTAGTAAGATGTAATTTTTTTAATGTCACTTGCATTTGGTAATATATGAATACAATCAAGTTTTTGAATGGGACCACATGGTATTATGGGCTTCTCCAACTTTAACTGGAGGACTTAATATCATCTTGACTAGTTCAAATTAACCTATTAGACTATAAAATATAATAAACCTCTTTCATTAAGTATTTAATGCAGCTACATTTTTAATCATTAAATTTGAGATCTCTTAAGTTAGGACCACTACTGCCATATTGAAAAATAGAATTGGAATTTTTGTTCAAAAGTATAATAAATAAAAACTTGAAAGAGAGAAAGAACGGGAGTATTTGAAGAAGATAGTCCTTATTTTTCATATTTTTATTTATCTTTTAAAGCTGGGAAAATCGGTCAAAAGTCCTAATTGAAAAATTAATTGTGTAAAGAAACTTGGGCGCCTAGATCCTTGTGTAGACTCATCTTCAATGCCTGCGGCATATCTCAAGTGCATGTAAATGTGTTATGTTTTACACATAACAAGCACAAATATAATGTATTACTCCTCTTATCTTATCCATGAGGCGAGAATTTTTTTCATTCTATTTATCCACCTAATTAAATTTTTAATATAAATATACTATTTTATTCTTAATTTATTATAATGTAGATAATTTTTTTAAAAAAGTATATATATTAAATGGGAATAAAATTGAAAAGTCATTATATCTTGGAGAAGATTTATTATTGTTTAAAATTTTTTTTAATTTGTGTAAAATATATTAAGAGTGTCCTATAAATAAGATTAAAAAATACTATTTTTTTAAATAAGAAATAATTATACTTAGAAAACAAATGACACCATTTTTTCATAAGAATTTATGATTTTAAATTTTAAATTTTAAGTAATATTTATTTGTTGTATTTCCTTTTGGGCCGGTCGTCAGAGGGTGGTCTGCTCAGTGAACTCCGCGCCACACACATGTGACACGTGACACTGTCTCACAACCCGCTCCGCCTCAGATGCAGCAGTCAGCAGGGGTGCCTCTAATTCTTTGAATTTCTGACGTGGCTCGTACGGACAACCCCATAATTTACTCATTTTTACTCCCTTCGATGCCTTGCCAGTTTCTCCCTAGCATTTCATTGGCCTCAACTTGTCCCCACGTGACTGGCAACGGACAGCTTTGCTTACTGTTCTCCCCTTACCCCACGCCCCCCGTCCCAGTATCGGTCACCGGAAGCATAAGTTGTCGGTGATCACACCCACGTGTCACGAGCTCACGCCGTGTCACTCGCTTATTGTGCATCCCCCTGTGGGAAAAAGACTTGAAGCAAAAAGTACGCCTTGTTTGTGGATTCACGTGGCGGAGAGAGCATTTATTCTGTGGTTTTCTTAATTTGGGAAGGGTAGATTTTTTTTGTGCGTTTACCTAAAAAAGAAAAGAGATTAGGTTCCTAGTCTTGCTTTTTTCCTCTTTAAATCTCAATATTGCTCGTTCAATTCCTCTCACTGATCGATGAGAGTAAGAGGAAGGTGAGGGATTTGGAGCACGCAACCGATCAATCACTCGTATACATCAACATATCACATACGATCCTTCTTTTTCTCTCGTTTTCCCCCTTTTTTCTGGGGAAAATTTTTCCTAGGGTTTCTGAGATTAACCCATTCATCACTCATTCCCAGAATCCAGTACTTGTGTGTTTGAGTCGATTAGCTAGATCTCACTTCGTATCAGTTTTGAGTCCAGATTTCGCTGAAGAAATCGATTTGCTTCAGTTCGTGTTTGGGGGAAGAAGTCGAAGATGGTGAGGGGAAAAACTCAGATGAAGCGAATCGAGAATGACACGAGCAGGCAAGTGACGTTCTCAAAGAGAAGGAATGGGCTGTTGAAGAAGGCGTTCGAGCTGTCTGTACTGTGTGATGCGGAAGTTGCACTCATAATTTTCTCGCCCAGAGGAAAGCTCTATGAATTCTCCAGTTCTAGGTAAGTCATGATATATGCATATATATGTGTGTGTGCGCGCTTTTATTTATATCCCCCACATACCATATAATTAATAATGCTGCTTTTAAAACTTGCTTTCCATCTGTCTGTACTTGCAATATGATGTTTTTGGTTCAATTTTAATGATTTGGTCAAGATCGTTGATCCGAAGCAATTAAATTGTTTCGATTAATGCTGAGAGCTTTTTTTAATTACTGTTAGTTGTGCCTAGCTGTAAGTAGCTAGAAGAATTTTCTGGGCATAAGCTTGTTAAGTTGACTTGGTCTGGTGCCTTATGGTACTATATGAAAGCTTAGCTTTATGCTAAAGCTAGCTGGCTAGCTGTACTGTCTATCTATCATCTTCCATGGAAATAACAGTAACTCTTAATATAGATGGTCCTTGCCATATTTGCCTCTTTATTTCATTTTCCTGTCCAATCAAATATTCTAGATTAGACTAATATCGATATAAACATTCAAAAATAAAATTTGTAAATATAACTACCTAAAACTCCACAAGACCCATAGCCGATCAAAACTTTTAGAGTAGAGTAGAATTGTGCAAATATGGATTGTTAAGAAAAATTAAACAAGACACTCCTTAGAATTTTTCTTTCGTAAAACTTAGGTCTTTTTTTAATTTTCATATGTAGAATAAAAAATGGAATTAAGGATGAAATAAAGATCTTGTTTGGATGAACGTAAAATGACCAAATTATGAGTTCTTTTAATAAAAATATTATCAATATATGTAACGACCGCAGGAAAATCATGAACATTGTATTTCGCTTTATGTAGGGGGAAAATATATAATTCATTTCCGGTACTTCACCTAACGGTCTTTACGAAAAGGCTGTCTTTAATTTATTTATCTTTATGGTCAAATTAATTTTGACGTAATATGCTTTTTTTGTAACTTTAAATAAACTTGCATAATTATTTATATATTTTTCTATATACATAATTATTTATATATTTGTATATATATAGTTATATGAAGAATAAAATCACAATTTTATGTAACAGTTTAAGATACATCTTATTATTTTTATTCATGTTAAGAACTAAACTATAGCGTCATCTTATGTAGAAGGTTAGTTACGTTGCTTTAATTTGATGAGAATAAATCGAATGAGATATTCTTGTTATATATATATATATATATATATCAAGTATGTATAAATAGATAAAAAAAAATAATCGTACTACATGAATTTATATAAATTCCCATAAAGAGGTTATCTAATGTAATCTACCGAAAACTGTTACCTGTTCTTCATCATGTATCTTGCTCGTCGAGAGGGAACAATCATATATTTTTATTTTTACTGTAAACGAATCAAACACTTGCTGCACGGTACATAGACATACAGAAAGAAATAAGAATAACCACCGAAGAATCAATGATAAAGATACAACAAACAACAAGCCTTATCCCACTAGGTGGGTTTCAATGATAAAGATACATGTGGTGGAATGTATATGTCACCTGACAAGTAAGAGAACGGAGCCAATGATGTGAAATTTTAATTTGGAATATTTATTCCTATTTGAATGTAAATTCAAGTTTTCTTTTGATTTTTTTCCTATTCATTTTTAAGTCAGACATGTTTAAAATTTCAATGCGTACTCCTCATCGTCCTTCGACCTCATATATCCTCTTTAATTCAAATATACCAGAGAGAAGATATTGCGAAAGCCCAAGTGGAGTATAGAAAACCAGAAATGATAGATAGATCAAGTAGACGGTTATATTTAACTCGATTTAAAGGTAGGTAGATAGCATAAGAGGAAATGAAATATGCTCAAAAGTTTCTAATTTTCATTTTTTAACATTTAGTTTTTTTCAAAATGGATACATTGTCCCTGAGAAAAGTTAGTGGTGCACATCCTTTTTCATATAGCTAGATTATGGAGTATGAGGTATAAGTTACATTATTCATGATTTATAGATAATAAGGCTTTCTATAGATTTGATATTATAAATTATATAGATAGGTAGATGGGTTAGGAGCATTAGGTCGTCGCTTTACTTCTAATCAACTGAAAGGATTCGTCAATAATTGTCACGCTTGAAAGTGTTTTCCCCCCTCATAAATCTTCACAATGAACAGCAATTATTAAATTTAAAAGAGTCCTTGAAATCACCAAATATAATACACAAAACATATCTACCTTTCTGTCGATGTATATTTTGTTTAGATGATGGGTTGCTGTTTGATCACAAGACATGTTTTGAACTGGTAACGTACTTGGAATCTTGTTGGCACAGTTTAACATGGACATCAAAGTAAGAGCTTGTCCACGCTTTACTGTAACATATATATATATATATATATTTATTTATTAATTTATCCGCGCGCGTTACTCTAGAAGGTGCTTCTGTAAGCACCAATAAGTTATTCTTCTTGGTTGGGCAATAAATGTAGGATTTTTTTGAACAGATTAATGCTATTAGGTTTTGAATATGAACATTCTTTTACAGCTTAAACACTATACAGACGAACTAATCTTGTAAATTTGATTTAGATGTTTTGGTTCATGGGTACGGCTAATTAAATACATTAGCTAAATGAAGATATTACCAATTTCATTGGAGTTATTTGTGTAAGTATTCAATGCCAATGGGACCGTCCTTTTAAATGCTGTGTCTGTCAAAATATCATTGGCTGTAGTGTCACCTTCGTGAATGTTCTTTCTTGACAGCAGTTTACTTGTCTTTCCGAGAACATTTAAAGTCACCAATAATAAGAAAGAAATAAAGAGTTGCTTTTTAATTTACCGAAGATCTTGCTTTGCCAAAATTCTTAATTAATTTGGTCGATTCTGTTCGTCAAGTACTTCGATTACTAAGGTAGGCTCCAATGTAGAGTATATATGGTTCTTTCCTCAGCATGCCTGGTTGTGACTGCATGGTATTGGTTTATCATTTAATTAATGTTGTTAAGTGCTAGCAATTAGATAAGACATTTTTGACCAATAATCAAATACAATAAGGTCGTAACATTGGTAGAACTAAAACTTTACCGTCATTTTCTCTTTTATATATATATATATATATATATATATATATATATGGGAGAGATATTTTCATATGGGATTTCATGCATGTTCCATGAAGACATTTCTAATATCAACAGTTTTCTTTTTAAAATAACCATATAGGATTTTGTCATCATAATTTATATCTAAAGGAATGCACACGCAACACCTTGAATTTTTGATCAAACTATACATATTTTTCCATGCATTGCATTTTACGGAGTATGAAGAATAAGTCGCATGATTCATAACATATATAATGCTACTTGTTTGTTACAGATTTTATATTATGTTGATAATGATTAATATAATCTAGTTTTTAAATGATCACCCTTTAATTCAATCTTCTAAAAATACATTATAATCTTTCAGTTTTAATTCATACATGATTACGCTATCATGAATTTAATTGGTCTCAAAGATAAAGTTGTTCAATTATTCTTTCAAATATACTTTCCCTTCCATTAAAAATGGTATATCTCGTGGATTTGTAAACCCCAGTAATTTTGCTTTCCATCAATATAACATTTCATAAACAACTGCTAAGAGCTCTATACGTAGCCGTCTGTTGTTTGAAAAAAGTTGAAACAAGTCAGAACAACTTCTTATGCCAAAACGTGGTTTAAACTTGTTCTAACCTGTTTCCAATCATAACTGACTAAAAGCCAAGTACTCGAATCTGATACATGAACATCTTAGGAAATATTATAGAAAAAAACTAAAAGGGACACTATAACAAACCTAACATTAATGTGAAAAAAAAAAAAGACATGAGAATGTGCATGAAAAAATCGAAAAATATTAACCGATTTCATCCCTTTATATCTCTGTATCGAAAATAATGATCTAGGTTATGGAGGTTGAAGATATCGTAGTTTATATAACCGGTTATGTCTAATGGACGGACTGAATCATGGGGACTTTATTTTCAAAACCAAACTCAGGAGTATAATCTTTTTGAGATTTATTAGAGGTTTTATTTTAGAAGACGAAATTGGGTGGAGCATGATATTTGAGAACTGAGAATATGAATAATATTCCTTTCCATCTTCATTTCTCTAGCTACTTGTATGGTTATATATTAATGTGCTTAAATAACCCGAACACATTATTGTTTGTCATTTATTGGAGATGCTACAGTATAAACAAAACAGTTGAACGCTATCAAAAGAAAGTCAAGGACCTGGGTCTCTGCTCCAGAGGAATGCAAGATAACACACAGGTAAGTTGCCCAATCATGAATATATCTCTGATAAATATAAGTTCGATCGGATATGTTTGTGCACGCGTGCGTACGCATTAGATTTTGAAGAGGGTAAAGCCGATAATCATTGAGGTCCTGAAAACGATTATTATATATATTGTGCGTTGATACATATCAGTGGCTTGAGGTGACCTCAAGAGCAAGTTGATTTCATTTTTCTTTTTACACTTTAGACAGAGAGAGTTTAATTATTATTTTTCTAATCTTAAAATTCGGATGTAAGAAATACTCGAAAATACAAACTGTTCCGTATGTGAAATTGTTAGTTTAGTTTCTATCCATTTATCTTCTCCAATGACAGAAACTGTAGTTCAGAGGACTTGCTATTTTTCCACAAGTTTGGCAATTTGGTAACAAGATGAGACGTTTCAGGATGATATGGATTCTTTTTGTGGGTGTTTTTGGGTACAATGAATGGAAATTATATTTCTGAAAATGTGATCGCTTTTTGTAGATGGTTGAACACAATCAAGATGTCTAATAATATTAATGATGGAATGAATGTATCTCGCAGCTAACAGAAACTTGTGACTTGATTGCATGCAGCAAGGTAAGGATGGAACCATTGGCATACAAAAGAAGCTTGACCATCTTGAAATTTCTAAAAGGTTTCTGCTTAAAACTTGTCTCATTTCTATTTGTCCTAGATTCACACATGCACGCCCATGCTTGGCTCTAATCCCATCCCACGTGACCTCAGATTTTATATGTTTATATAGTATGTGCATGATTTCCTGCATGCAGGAAGCTTTTGGGAGATTGCTTGGACGCATGTTCAGTTGAGGAGTTAAATCAGATAGAGAACCAGTTGGACCGAAGCTTGTCCAAAATTAGGGCACGAAAGGTATCAGAACAGCGGCATTTAATAAACCCTTGAGTTGTGTGTGTAGAACAACACATTACAAATATATTTGCTACTTGATAATTAATGAAAGTATTTAACGTTGAAAAACTTGGCGGTGTTTCTATCTGTGCTCAGAATCAACTGTTCAAGGAGCAGATTGAGCAACTAAGGGAAGAGGTAATTAATATTGTTGCACGTATATGCGTGAATTAACAATAATTGCCACTAATTAGTTTTTATTAAATAGTTCACAATCAACGGAAAATTTCTATGATCTTTTTTGTCTCATTCCAGGAAAAATGCCTTCTAGAAGAAAATAACAAGTTACGAGGCCAGGTTCTGATCCTCCTCCTTCTTATGCTTTGCTAGTAAGTTGTTGCCACGGTTTATTACACAAACCATGAAGATGATCAAGTGCCACTTGAAACCACCTCCATTATCTCTGGGAAGAAACAGGCATCGTTGAAATAACTTTGGTCATCCAATTCCATCTTGTCTCCTATATCCATGCATGCATACATGTGTACGTGCATACATACATACATGCATACAATATACTCCGTATTGTTTTGGCATGTAACCTGCAAAATGAATGTTACAGTGTGGGATTGAAAAGCGAGGATCAATGAGGAAAGAGGATGAGAACGAGGTGGTGGTGACAGAGTTGTTCATAGGGCCACCTGAGAGACAAACCCCTGATAAAATCTGCAACACTTGACCATCTTCATATATATATATATATATATATATAAGAGTGTGTGTGTGTGTGTGTGTGGTTAATAATATATCTCCATGAAATCTAAAACATGTATTGTTAAGGTATTGTGTTTCTGTTGTGCCTGGACTAGCAAGCTGTAGCTAGTGATACCAGCCTTACTCAAATAAACATCTCTGCTTCTATATATTCTGTTTCTTGTAGCTCTTTTTCTGATGATTGCTGATATGCTATCTCTGCTTCTTAACTGTTGAAAAATTATGCCCAGCTGTGACTGGGAATGTCAAAATTTGACGTGTTTTTGGGGTCAGCGGCATTGTTTAATTTATCAGTACGTACCCATTTTAAGTTTTTATCTTTTTTATGGAAAGTTTTTATTTTGATTTTGGTGCGATAAATGCAATAGGAGAGCTTTCTCCGGGCATAGAGTGTCTTGGGCTAGTTTATAGCTAGGTACTAGGTACTTAATTAGATGGGTCTTGGGGGGCAATAATGCTCATGAACTTGCTTTCGGTCTCAATTTTCCTGGGCTAGTATGGCGTTGTAAAATGGATATTTTTGGCGATATCAATTAGTTTTGATGAAACAACAGGAGTTGGGTCTAGTAGAAGGAGTTAGTCTCCCATAACGTGATGAATCAATATTTAAATCCCCATTGAGAGAAGTGTTCATATTTAGTGTCCAATAATACCTCGAATAGGATTATCTCTAATAGGAGGATACTTGTGCGTAGCAAAAAAAAAAAACTTTTGATGAGATGCTTATTAAATACTACATCCAATTCTTAATATAAAAGTTATATAACTAATTTGAAAATATTAAAAAAAATTAGTTAAGTTGGTTATTTGTCGTAAATGTATATCATTTTTTTTAAACTGTTCTCTTTAATCATGTACGTGGAATAAATAGAATTATCTCTTAGTGGGAAGTGGGAATTCCTTACAATCAATAAGGATATTTGGGAGAAAAATGAGAGATAAAGTAAATTAAAATCTTATATTTAAAACTAAATTTAATGCTTAACTAGTTTTTATATTAAGGATTAGAGATAGTAATTGTTACTTTTTTTTGTTGTCTTTTTTTACAGTGTCAGTGCATTACCACTTTGTTTTCTCAGTTTTTTTTTCCAATATTCAAGACAATAATTTTAATTAAAATGATCATTTTATGGGTTACATATAGTTAAATATATATAAAAGCCAGGTATAGATATACACTTCATTGAACACTATGAAAAAGAAAAAAAACATGAATGTAAGAATGGTAGCGTTTTCTTTGGTAGAATCGCAACTAATTTGCTTCACTTTGATCGGCCTGGCAAATGGTAGCAGGACTTAGTAGCCATTAGTGAAAAATAACTACTAGCAAATTAGCGCAATTGATTCCAAATTAGTAGCAGTTTAGGTTCAGTGGCCTTAGGGACAGGATCCATGGACAGGGCCAACTAAATGTCCAAGACTTCAACATAGCGGACATTCGGATTCTCATTACTAATAAAAAAGTTCTTAGGACAAAGAGATAGCTCATCAGCAGGGTTACCCTCACCCTTCTTCTAGACGGTCGATCGGATATGAGGCTGAGGTGCAGGGTAAGTACAACAATTATTATTTAATATTTAAAATAAATGTTTTAAATATGTCAAAATAATTAATTGTATTTTTTATTGTGCAGACTTGCGGGTACTACCAGCAAGAGGAGGCTGACGGTGGCTGACACAAACCAGCTGCCGCTAGGGTACTGTGGGTGGTGCCCTTGAATGACGTCATGGAAAAAGATGCTAATTGAGAAGAAGGAGCTCGCTTAGATTGACATCATGAAGGTAAATAATTTAGAAAAAATTACTCACAGGTTGTAAAGAAGAGACTTTATTCATCTAAGGTTTATTGAAATGTCAAAATTATTAATATGTCTTAAGGGATCTTAAAGTATTATATTCTAATTATAAAATGACATCACTGCCATTTAAATTCTCAATTCATATTTTTTCTGTCATTGTGATTAACAACCTCAGCAACGACTATTAACAATCTAATGAGAAAGTATTGATAACTAGTATCCACTGACAACTTACTTTGTAGGATCATATAACCTTCATATAAGAGTAAATTATAACCAAATAGTATAATATAATAACTTTGATATTAAAATGGGAAGCTTGTCGAAACCATTTAACTAAACCGAATAAGATTATAGTAAAATTTTAATGCGGAGATACATTGATAACTTCAACGGTGAGTATTAATAATCCAAAAAAAACTATTGGCAACCTAGATGGTGTCTATTAACAACTAATTTTATATGATAATATAATCTTTATATAAGATGAAATTATAACTAAATAGTATAGCTTAACAACTACATGACATCAACTTTAATACTATTTAGTTATAATTTAGTTAGTTATAGTTGTTAGAGGTTATATTATCTTATAAAGTCAGTTGTCAGCAAACACTGTTTAGGTTGTCAACAGCTCTTCTTGGGTTATAATGCTCACCGTTGAAGTTGTTAATGGGTTTCCACATTAAAATTTTGTTATAATTCTATTGGGTTTAGTTAAAGTTCTTAATGGTTTCGAAAAGCTTCTCATTTCAGTGTTAAAATTGTTGTATTATACTATTTGGTTATAATTTACTCTTATGTGAAGGTCATGTAATCCTATAAAATAAGTTGTCAACAGATACTGCTTAGGTTGTCAATACCTTCTCATTGGGTTGTTAATAGTCGCTACTAAGGTTGTCAATTGCAATGGTAGAGAAAATATGAATTGGGAATATGAGAAGCAATGATGTCATTTTATAATTAGAATATAATACTCTAAGATTTCTTGAGATTTGTTGGTAATTTTTACATTTCGTTGGGTCTTAGATAAATAAAGTCTTTTTTTAGTACTTGTGCGTAATTTTCCCAATAATTTATTAATTGACTTAACTTATACTTGGGAAAATAACAAATGGTAACATCTCAGTTTTTATTTTTATTATTTAATTAAGTTTAGAAAGGGTTTAATGCTTAATAAATAAGTCTTATTCTCTAATTATTTGAGAAAAGAGAATTATTGAAAATAAGATTTATAAAATATATATATGGAAATTTCTGAATAATAATAATAACGGATTAAAAAAATTGTAATTTTATCTCATTTTAATATGAGATCTTTAATGGGCATTTATCTCGAAGATTCATTTTAACCGTTGGAATCGGTGAGAGAGAGAGAGAGATGGATTTTTCATCGTCTTTCTTCCTCCTTTCCGGCACGACTCCTCTCTCATCTTTTCAATAGGATTTCAACTTTGCAGATCATTTTAGTAAGCCAAATAACTTTTTTTCATCAAACTCTCTATAAAAGTTTTTTCACTCATCTAAATCTATCTAATGATAGTAGTATTATACTGTTTAGAGACAATTTTTCGGCTTAGGGTTTAAAACAAGTGTTGAGTTTTGATTATAGGTGAGCATAGTATTGTAGAACTATTTTAGTAGATCATTTTTATCAGTTTAGTTTTATTTATTGACTGACCTAATATTTTTTAAATGAATTATTTTAATTAAACATATATTTATTTATGAAAAATATGATATTTATACTATAGAATTGTCGACCAAATTATTTACTTAGATGTATTTGATGTATATTGAATTTTAATGGTTGGTTTTTAAGATTTAAAGTTGAGATAGGATTTTTGAATTTTAAATATGATAATTTCATATTTAAAAATTTGAGAAAAATCTATATACTAAAGTAAATACTTTGAAATGTTTAAATGAAAATTATGAATTGTGGAGATATATTAATTTTGTGTTAAAAGACTTAATTATGGGTTATGAGAGGTTTGGGTTTAACATAGAATTAGAAACTTTAACTTATATATATATATATATATATATATGTATTAGCTCAAGTAATTAATTAAATAACTCGTGTATTGATATGTAAATGTATTGATTATGTAAATTAAATTATTCGATTGTTGGTTGAGCATGGGATTAACCTTATGGTAATCCTTTTCCTAGTGGGCGAGAAGTAACTATTTTTCACTTATTATTTATACTCGCAGGTTGTTTGTAATTGATTTTTAATTATGCAGGATTTATGAAATATTATTGAATTAAGATATGAGCTATAAAATTATGTTGTTATTGAAATTGTCTTGTGAGACTTTTTTTACAAAATATATATGTGTTTACGATTATGATGATATCATGTGTTATGTAATTGAGAATTGAAAATTCAAATTGATTTTGACATGTTGATGATTTATTATAAATATAATATTTTGAATATTGATATGTGAGGGATGGCGGATGTTGATGATGGGAATTATACCAAAGAGGATATAAGGGGGTGAATTATGTACATTTGACGATATAAGGTGATAGGGTCATCAGATGTACACTCATTTTAGGGTATTGACACCCCACTAGTAGACTAGAAGGGGAACTCATGGTCCGATCTTGTGCTATATGGATTTTGGCCGGTCCATATCACTTAATCGGTAATCTCGTCTAATTACCAATCACATGGATGAAAATTTAGCTCATGGGTTCAATCTTCTTTATTTGGGAAATAATTTCGCTCTCTGTCATTTTCAATCCTTAGCTTCTTAGATTGGGACATCCTAATTTCAGCCTTCTTTATTTGTCATTTTCCTTTTATTTTAAAAAGTTAAAAGATTTTTTATTTTTTATTGCAAATTAATGTTTTTTAAATTAATTTTTTAATTGTAAGCCATGTTTAATGTTAGGACGTTCCTAACTTTACCTTCCTAAAGATTGGTGAGGGTTGGAAGAACAAAAAACAGCGGTTTTACAACAAATATAATAGGGATGGGACGACGTCGTTGAGTGGGCTTATGGAAGGTGTGCCTAACGGTATTCCTCCGGATGATTAATACCGGATGATTGTGCAATACTTGTCCAATTTAGGAGGACGCTTGAGCAAAGAGTATATTTTAATTTTATGTTCATATATATATATATATATATATACACACATATATATAATTTATTATTGACATTTTTTATTATTAGTTATATAATTTCATGAAAGTATGTACTATTTTTGTAAAATTTATTTTTGTTTTAGCTAATTTCTCAGAGAAATGCTTAAAGCAGTGCCCAGCAAATGATCCACCGGAAGTCGAGTTGAAGCTATTTCTTGTCACCTACTCCAAGATGGTATAAATTTAAATATTTAAATTGTTAAAATTTATTTGTTTTGATTTTGAATTTGTTATATATAATAATTTT